GGGGGGGGGATTTGCTTGTTTTACTACGTGGCAGGACCCCCCCAACCTGTTCAACCTTAGGGCCCGATGGGACCCTGCTCTGCCTGGCGCTGGGGTGGGGGTTGGTCCTTGGCTCCTCGCGACAGGGGCCGGGACAGTTGGCTGGTCGCTCCTGCCCTTCTGGGAGCTGGAGCAGGGAACTGGGAGAAGAGGGCGGGGGGAGTGGTGGGCCCCTGCGGGCAGTGACTTATTTCCTAAGAGGAGCATGCAAGGCTGGGGGAACCACACTGGGACCCTGCTCTGCCTGGCGCTGGGGTGGGGGTTGGTCCTTGGCTCCTCGCGACAGGGGCCGGGACAGTTGGCTGGTCGCTCCTGCCCTTCTGGGAGCTGGAGCAGGGAACTGGGAGAAGAGGGCGGGGGGAGTGGTGGGCCCCTGCGGGCAGTGACTTATTTCCTAAGAGGAGCATGCAAGGCTGGGGGAACCACACCCTGTTCCCTCTTGCTTTGCCCCAGCTCTCACTGCTCAGTCCCCCCCTTCCCCCCAGGGAGATGCTGGTCTGGTTTCTCTGGTGCCAGGCCCTGCGTGCCCGCTTGGTGCCAAGCACACCTCAGATTACATCACTGCCTCAAGCATGCCCCCCCCAATCCGCTGTGCTTTATGCTGGCTGACCTAGGGAGTTGAGGGGCCACCCCATTAACCGAGCCCTCTCCAGGGCCATCCCCAGCTACAGCCTTCCCTTTAGCAGCTTCTACGGGTGACTTCTCCTAGCAGTCAGCTGTGGAGAAAGGGCTAAAGTCCACCGGGGTCACACCCTGTGCTCTCCCTCAGCAGGCAGCGGTGGAGAATGGGCTAAAGTCCACCGGGGTCACACCCTGTGCTCTCCCTCTGTACTGAGTGGCTCCCACACCGCCCTGCTGAAAGCCACATAGGAGTCCCAGACAGCTTTGTATTAAAGGACAGGAGCAGGAATCAGGACTTCACTGCTCTGGAAAATAACGAAACTGAGCAGGATTAGAGCCCGTCTCGTTACCAGACAGGGGTGACTTGCAGGGCTTTGTGCAGGTGCAGGCTGAGACAGAATTCTGCCCTACACTGGCTCACACTGAACAGAAACACCCTGGCTTGTTTTGAGTGCGCAGGAACAAATTCTTACCCTACAGGGAGAAATAACACACAAAGTCCCGGTGGCTGAAAGAACGCTCACAAGAAAGTGAACTTAAATCGTGGATACATCACTCCGCTCTGCCAGTTTGCTTTCCTTATTGCTTCTCGGCCAAAGGTCAGACTCTTAAAGAGGATCTTTATATATTGCGCAATAGGATCCTACTAGAGCATGACCTTTTGTAGCAGGTTTGTGTGTGTTTGTAGAGTACCTCATACGTGGCTCTTTGAGAGCTACATGCCATGTTAATAATGCAGACTCATAGCCTGAAGTAGGAAATTTATCTCTGCACAGACCCATTAAAGTTGGGGGATCAGCATGAGTTTAGAACAGGTTTTGTTCCTACCCATAATTCAGGAAGCAATAGATTTCTATTGCAATCCCCAACTAGACCAACATTGCTTTCACAATCATTTCAGGGTAGTTGCACTTGTTTTATTTTACTTAATTTGTAAGGTGAAATAATCTTGATTGCTTCAGGCTGATGTTAAATATCAATCATATTGATCAGATCAAACTGCTTAAAAGACACATTCCTTCCCCATACATGTAAATGGGGCTGGGTGCCAGGAAGCCACCAGTCAGCATTCTGTGATGAAGCAGCCAAGCCAGGTCGTACAAAACGATCACACAGCTGCATGGGGCTGCAGTCGAACACGGTGACACTAACAAACCCGCGCTAGGTTCTAGGGATGTAATAGTCTAGTTGATTAACCGATAAACAAAAGCTTATAGGTTAATGTTATAGGCGACATGCATTTCCCTCACCCCACCCGTGCCTGTACATATTTTAGCAGGCAGCACTGCTCAGTTCTGGCTCACACTGGGTCCAGAACCTACTCGGGCTGTGGCTTTGCATTTCAAGTGTATTTGGAGCCAGGCAGGCAGGCAGCCTGTCTCAGTTCCAGCTTATGCAGAGTCTGGGAGCTCAGATCCACCTTAGACAAGGGCTGCTACCACCCTCCGCTGGGAAATAGGCAGCCGGTCCACAAGGGGCGTTGGTTTTTAAACTGCGGACAAGCTCCCACCTGACACCCTGCACTGCTGCCTTTGATACAGTGGCTGCCAGCCCCAGCCCCGGGGACTATAGAATAGTTGATTAACCAATAAGAATTCATGAGGTTACTCGACTATTCAATTAACCGATATTTACCCTGCTAGGTTCTGGAAACCTGATGTTTTATCATAAGCAAAGTCATCCAGCCACAAGATCAGCAGGACGCTAGCCTAGAATTGCTGGAATGAGCTCCTATGAAAAATGAGCATGGTAGCAGTATGGAAAGTTGTCCTGGCAGTGAAGAAACCTTCCAGGCTTCATGAGTTGTAACAGTGACAGTCTCCCTTACTGAAGTAGACACAGACGTCACTCTGAGTGATGCACGTTGCCGAGTATTGTGCTGCTGAGAGCTGTCTATCAGCTGTGCCCTGGCTTAATGGTGCGCATCTCTTGCCAGGCTGCTGTGCTTTTGAGCTCTGGTCACGGTTCTGCCTGTTGGTAAATAACCCTTTTATATCATTACAGTAAAACTAAAATGGCTGTTTTCTCTGACTGGCCCTAGGCGACAACATGCGGCTCTATGGGGGACGAAACAGATCTTTCCAGGCTCCCGTCACTGTCCATAATTATCCAAGCAGCCACGTTTACGTGTTTCAAAATGGCCACCTGGATCCGGATGAGTCATCAGAGGAGGAATCTGACTTCATGGAATTACGTCCAAGGGGCAAGGAGCCGCAGCAGTGCAGTGCTGCCCAAGAGAAAGGGAACGTGGTGCTCCTGGAACGAGAGCTCATGGAGGGCGATAACCTCAACAAGCTAGCCCTGCAGTATGGCTGTAAAGTAAGAGCCACAGCTAGAGGAGGCAGCTGCTTTCATTTCTGCCCTTAGTCTTATTTTTCTATTTGTTTCATGCTTAGGGCTTGTCTGAACTGCATCCCTCTTTCGAAAGAGGGACGTAAATTACACAGATCAAAATTGCAAATGAAGCCAGGATTTGAATTTTCCACGCTTCGTTTGCATAAGGGCTTTTCGAAAGTGAAACTGGTGTCTAGAGGTGGGGTTTTTTTTCAGACTCCCCTCCCCTTTTTCGAAAGATCCTGTACTCGTTTTTTGAGGAATATAGGATCTTTTGAAAACGGGCTTTTTCCCAAAATCCCCGTTTTCGAAAGAACACGTGGTGGCCAGTATGCAAATTCAAATCCCGGCTTCATTTGCAATTTCAATCTAATTTACATCCCTCTTTCGAAAGAGAGATGTAATTTAGACATAGCCTTAGTGTCTATGCACATGAATGTTCCAGTGGTCTGACCCAGAAAGGTGACTCTGTGTCCTGTATTTATTGATTTGATACCTGGCTATAAACCAAGGTGATGCAGGGTGCAAACAAGGCTTATAACAACACAAGGAAGGTGTATTCAGCCCCAGACCCAATATGACTAGTACTAACAATAAGGAGCTTACATTCTGTTAGTTTAACAGAACAATAGGCTCTAGCTCAGAGGAATCTCATAAACCGAGGTGGCTGGGTAACAAAATGGCAGATGAAATTGAAGGTTGATAAGTGCGAAGCAATGCACCTGGCGGAGAGGCGGGGGGAAGGGGAGAAATACATTTACACAGATAGACTCCAAATTAGCTGTTACCACCAAGAAAAATCTTTGGCTTACTGTGGCTATTTATTTAAAAACATCTGCTCAGTGTGGAGCTGTGGTCAGAAAGGGTAACAGTGTCAGGAAGCATGAGGAGAGGGATGAAAAGAAAACAGAAAATGTCATAAGGGTGTAACAGAAATTCATGGTGCACCCACACCTTGAATATCGATTCTCAAAAGCTCCACCTCAAAAAGCACACAGCAAAACTGGAAACAACAAAGAGGAGCAAGGACATGGAAGGATTTCTCTACAAGGAGAGTCTAAAGAGATTTGGGCTGGTTATGTTACAAGCAAACTACGCACGGGGATATAAAATCATGAATGGAGTTGAGAAAGTGAATAGAAAAATAGGTATCCTGCTTTCTCCTCTCCTCCTTCTGTCGCCAGCTGCCACCTTACCGGTGCGGATCGCTGGCTTGTATCGTCAGTGCTGGCTGCCAGCCAACTGGCAAAGAAAAAGCCATTGGGCATCCACTACGCTGATAAAGGGACTCTTGCTGCAGCGGCTTCCTGTGATGTATTTACATATTTAAAAATGAGGCTGTACAATACCTGGCCCAGGCAACGAAGATGCAGCTGATGGTGCATATTGGCTCATTTAGGAAGAAGAAAGGATGGTGCTTTTTTTTTTTTTTTTTTTTTTTTTAAAAGAGGAATTTATTGATTTCTTAGACTGATTTTCAGGGCAAAAATGCGCAGACCCTAGTGCGGTAATGGGTCTAGCAGCGACGAAAATAATGCTTGGAAAATGCTGTGTGTCAGTTGGTGAATTTGTTACATTGCCCTTCTAGTCGGTCCTGCTCCTCCTCCCCCACACACTTCTGATCTTGAGGCACCTTTGTGCCTCCCCCAACTCTGGTTCCATCCATCGTTTTTGAAGATGAGATGTAGGCTCCTTGGTTAAACAACCAGCACAGCACTGAGAACAGCAGTGCTTAAATACAGGTGGGACCGCCCTGGTCTGGCACCCCAGCACCTGAGTGGTCCCAAACCACAGAGTGTGTCAGACTAGGGGAGGTCAAGGCTGTTTCCCAGCTGTCAACCTTGCACCTGGGTGCGAGCCCCAGCCATGGGGCTCTGCTCCTGGACCTGGCCAGGGCTGCGCTCTCCCCTGTGCCAGCCACGCTGCTGCTGGCATGGCCCCCACTGCCAGAGCAGCACTCGAACCTGGCCAGTTCTGTGGTGCAGCTCCTGGATGTTGCCATACCAAAGAGTGCCGGATTTTAGAGGTACAACCTGTTCTTCAAACAGCTAGGCCAGGGTCTGAAAGATTTCCCCAGCTAAGTTAAGACAGGAACAATAAAAAACCTGGGGATGGGAATGACAAGGCTGAAAACAAATACAACCGATGGTCCCTTGAGATATTATGGAACATGTCTTGAAGGCTCCATCTTTCCATATGTGAAGTACTATCACTTATAAGATTCATTGGGGTCTTAAGAGAGATTGCTAGGAAATCTCTGCAGATTCAGAGGCTACCAGAAAACCATCAGGACTGCAACCAGACTCCTGCTTGTAGGTTTCAGTCTCTGTTTTCGCTCTTGATGTTTTGTATTTTTCTGCTTTGTTCTTGAGTCAGAGTGGAGAAAGGATTGTGACGTGTTTCTCCTTTCTGATTTCCATAGGTTGCAGATATCAAACGCGTCAACAACTTCATCCGCGAGCAGGACTTGTATGCTCTGAAGTCCATCAAGATTCCTGTCAAGGCCCACGGGCTGTTAACGGAGATCAGCAACGAATTAAAATCTCAGAATGCGCCTTCCCAGGCTGGGCTGACACTCATTGAGCTCCCGGAGCCTGATGCAGGAGCCACAGGCAGCAGCTGTACTGAAAGCAGACTCCTGAGTGACTACTTTAAGGGGATTGACCAGAATATTGAGAATGCTGTGAAATCAAAAGCCCATTTAAACACCGATTATTGCACAGAAGCACCAAACGGCCCATCATCCCGTTCAGTGGGGCAGAAGGAGCCCAGCAATGGTGCAGACTGTGGAATCCAGTGGTGGAATGCAGTTTGTATCATGCTCCTGATCGGCATAGTCTTGCCAGTATTTTACATTGTCTATGTTAAAACACAGCAGACTGGGGCGGCAGCCCATACCACAAACACAACTTTTGCCTCGAATAGCCCCGCTCCTGAATTGGTGGGGAAATTGTCACAGCACCTGGCTGTTGTAGAAACCCCTCAATGGGAGACACGGCACACGACTGCCTCACCTCTCGACCCGGATGCCCACAAACCAGTAACTCCAGCACGGCTGGATTCAGGTGGCTAATTTTTTTCTAAGTGAGCAAACGCACGTGACTGAACATGGGGTGACATAGAATCATAGAATCCTAGGGCTGGAAGAGACTCAAGGTCAAGTCCAGCCCCCTGCCCAAGAGACGTGTTTTCTCTGAATGAATAAAGATGTTTTGTAGCTTACTGAGGGTAACAGCCGATTGGCTCCACGTTGATAAACCCTTCCAAGGGCAAGCCGCTTGCCTCAACTTATTCTGTGTGGCAGGTACCTCTCATGAGTGGCCTTGTCTAAAAATCTGAAGTAGGCAGATAGAACGGTGCTCTGGAATACTGTAGGGTTTATGGATTGGAGTGATGCAGTCTCAGCGCTGGTGAGAAGACACTGCTTGTATAGACGGAACATTCCTCCCCCCCCAAGAACTAAAAGCAACATTTTGCATCTGGCAGAAGCGAGGGGCCTTGCCTATTTAGCCCCCCAGATGGCTTTGTAGTGGGATAAAGTAGCTGTGGTGCTAATACAAACCAGGACACTTGAAACCTTCATATCACTTTATTCTGATCTATGCCAGTATTAAGCTACCGTGAGCGCCGTAAAGGGTCTGTCTGTGCACGGAGTCCCTGTGACCTCAGTAGGGCTCCACACAGGTACCTGGTCAGGCCAGAACTTGCTGCAGAACTGGTACTTAAAGGCTGTTAATGAGGGATAACTGCCCTATTAAACCATGATAGCAATAGTCATGTTCAGCCACATAGTCCAATCCTCCAGCAACGTCTGGCTCACTTGCCCCCCAGAAAGCTTGAAACTAGTGTCAGTTGGTCTGGTGGCTTTAGTACCTTCATGCACTTGTGGGCAATCCATACGTCTTTCTTTGCACAATGGGCTTCCTCAAACACCGCATTTCAGTCTAAACAGTGTGTCCCTGCTCTTACAAGGGGCAGGGAGGAGTTTTCTATTTTGTACAGTAATAAAAAGGCAGGGGAAACGAGCCCCCAGTATTTCAGGAGTTTAAAAGAAGCAGCATAACGTGTAGCTTGGGGACTGAAAACCTACCCCAGACAAATTTTAGCGCCTGTGTAGTTAGCCATGTTTCTCATCTCCATCCTAAAGTAAGGTCTCTTGAGTGACTCATGGTTATGACAGACTAAGAAATTCTTGATGCATTCTGGCCCACAGGTTTCAGGTGTATTTTTTAAAGACTGATGTACAGTAAATGTTGAATTCATGACAAGGCTCCTTGCAGTATATGCTCTGAATGTGGATGAAGACTAAGCTTTGGGTAGTTTGACTCTGGAGTAAAAGCCTCTTAAATTGATGAAGTGATTTTTAAAGTCAATGCAGAACTGTATCTCATGGCTACAAACTGCCGTAGAAATTGACATTTTATACAGAAACAGTGCGCATAACATGAGCAAAATCCCCATAACATATTGCCTAGATGTAAGCTAATGTTCAGTGTAACGAAAACTTTAAGGAAGTTAGACTTTTCTCCAGGTCTAGATTAGGGATGTGAAAGATGAACCAATTAACAGGTAAGCATCATCCTAAACAGGAAATGCCTACCAGTTCCGGTAACCAGCAGGTCTGCCACTGACAGGAGCTGCTCCAGCATCCAGAGCAACCTCTGTCCACGAGGACACCGGGCACCCTGTGGGCAGGGGCTGCTCTGCTCTGTCTGTGGGGAGCCCACACCTGCTGCGGATAGGAGTGTGGGGTTGGGGGGCAGGAGCCCTATGGGCTGGAGTAAGGATGTTAAATGGCGTTTAATCGGTGTTATAGAATTAGTACGGTTGTAACATTGTGCAAATCACAGATTAATAAGATGCTCATTAGAAAACACATAAGTTTAATGCAAAATACAGAGAAAGGTTTTTCTCTTTCAGCTATTCAGATACAAGAGTCAATTTAAAAAAATCTAGCAACATTAAGCAGGAAAGGATAGTGTGAAAAAATAACTTCCGAAATGATTTGTTGGATGAATTGCCTGCTGTTGTCACTAGAGGGCACTGTTGTCACAAATACTCAAGTGACAAGGCAAGCTGAAGGAAACTTGTATCTTAAACTTATGACAGTGTTAGTACCAGCCATTTGTCTCCAACTAATTCAAGTGCTGATGGATAGTCTTGTCTAAGGTTCTGAGTTGCGTGTTGAAGTTAAAAATCAAGAGAGAGAAATTATGTCTCGTTAAGATATTTATTGCTGACACTATCGTCTCCTGGCATGAGGCAAATACACAGACAGCATTTACACAGTTATTTGTAATGACTCAAATGAAAAGCATCTGAAAAACCAGCTTCTTGCTGCAACAGGAGCCGGAAAGTACAATGAATCAAGTAAACAGCACCTTTCTATTTGTTTCTTGGTATCATGGCTTAACACTAATTCTTCCTGTGGGAAGCTCTTTAGGGTTCATGGGGGTTTGAGGTAACAGAATTTCTTTTACAAAGGTACCTAGAACATCTGATGTCTTCAAGCCAGCTGTATCCATTTACAATAATATTTTTCTTCTGTGAAGGAAGAAGGGTCTCTTCTATGGGCTAATGTTACATTTCTAAATGAAGAGAAATTCAATAAAAGCATAATGGGAGCGGTTCTGGACTGCTGTCTGTTACTTTCACAGCATTATCTGAACAGTGCATGCGTTTTATGTCACAGTTTGCCTTATAAAGAAAAGCAAAATGTAAGACAGAACCATGGCTAGACATGGGTCTGATGAAGAATGTCTTTCAATTGTAAATATTTCCAGCAACACTGTAATCACAAAGAAAGCAGAATACTACGGTCATTATGTGTGGGAACAAAATATCCTTGCAAATCCTGTTCCAAACTGCAGAATGCTGGCTAAAAATCTTAAGTGTATTTAGTATGTACATTCCTGTTCAGTGCCAACACGGAAAACATCAAATTCAGACCCGAGTTTCTCACCGTAGAACGCAGACCGGAACGTTGACAGTTCTGCTCTGAAACAGGATTATAAAACTCACCCTGGTTTGCTGTGTTGCAGTGACGTCTTATCAAGCATCTTCAGTTTTTAAAGTCATCTGTCAAACTGCCAGCCAGGAGGAAAAAAACCAGCCTAGCACTGCAGAATCAGGCTGGATTCCTCCTTTGTCAGAGACCATTTGCAGGTTAAATTGTCCCCTCTTTGATACCTATGCTGTCAGGGGTCTTGCCTTCATGGAGTTACTTGGGTGAAAATATTTGGAAACCCGGAAACAATTCTGTTGGCGCACACAGAGGAACAGAATGTAGCACAGGTGCTCTCGCCCCCGCTAAGCCAACATGGCTAACAGCAATACAAAGTAGCATATTTGAAGCAGTGGATTGCAACTGTGGCTTGCAAGGTGCTTGTGGCCCTATCAGCACAAGAGTTTGGCCCATGTGACAGCCTCAAGGTCAAACATGTAGTCGGATGTAGACCCACCTAACACACAGAGCTGCATATAAGGCCCACAGTGGTAAACAGGTCGAGAACCGCTGACTTAAATACTGTGGAGGCTCAATGGTGAACTGAGCTGCTGATCTAGGTGGTGCCACTTTCGCAGAACTGCTCTTTTGGGATGATAATCCCCGTTCCTAGGTGTGAGTGCGCCACGCCCATCTCCTTCCGCCATGACCAGATCTGTTACAATAAAAGCGGCTTCTCCAAAAACCTCTCTCAGCTACAAACTAAAGAAAACAGCTGTCTAGTACCCCCACAAAAAAGTATTTAGAAACACCTGAACTACCTTCCCGGGAACTATACCCGGCTCAGCTGTGTTGCAGCCTTCCTTAGCGCTGAAGGTTCTGTATTCACCAGCATAGGTGTTACGAACTGTTCAGCTGAACACCCTGTCCCAGGCCCTTTCGGAGAGCGCTTCTCTCTGGCACTGCACCCCCGGGGAAAACAATTACCTGTGCTCCCTGCCCCCCTGCAGAGCAGGATTCCCATCTGTCCATAGTGTGCCGCAAGAGAGTGTCACTGTGACTTGGCCAGTGGCCTACTAGGTGGGGCTCAGTTTACACCATGCAAAGCTGTAGAGCAGTGGTGGGCAACCTCCAGGCCACATGTGGCCTACTGGGGTTACACTACAGCCCATGCAACCTCTCTCTGCCCCCTTCCCTCATGCACTGGGGAACTGGAGCTTCGTCCCCTCTCTCCCAGCACTTCCGGAGTGTGCTGTGAATCAGCTGATTCTTGGCATTCTGGGAGGGAAGGAAGGGGGGAGTGGAGATGGGGCACATCAGAGGATTCACAGTGCTCCAAAAATGCATGGAAGGAGTGGGAGTAGTAGGTAAGTGGGGGCTCCAGCGCACGAGAGGCATGGAGGAAAGGGGGCAGAGAGGGGGTGCACAGGCCACAGGTGGAACCCCAATTGGCTGCAGGTTGCCCACCACAGGATTTCATTCATGCAACCCACTGAGACAAAGGAGGGCCACTTATGCGACCCACTTGGCTGCTGTGGCTGCTACACACCACATAGGGGTGCCAGGTGTCCGGTATTGACCCAAGCAGTCTGGTATTTTCGCCTCCTAAAATGTTCAGTATTTTCTGATTTTTCCTGGCCAGGAGGTTAAAATCCCAGGTGCTTACCTGGTTCCACAGGGGAGCTGTCTGGCCCGGAGCAGGAAGACAGGATGGGGGACAGCTGCCAGCAGCCTGTGAGGGCCAAAAAGCCACAAAAGCATTTCTTAAAGGGGCCAGGCTCGTTTTTTAATTTAATTTAAATTTTATTGCTTTTTTTTTTTTTTTTTTTTTTGCCCAACAATTTTGGTCTCCCCCTTTTCTCCCCCCCCCCCCCACAAAAACTTTTTTTTGCAGTGGTTTTTTTTGGGGGTGGGGGCGGGCAGTGTTCAGTATTTTTGGTTAAACCATCTGGCAACCTAACACCATACATGGAAGCTCCTAACTGGGTTCAGTGCGCGATTGCCAAAAGCTCCGCTCTCTCTCCAAGCAACATTCCCTGAGGGCTCTTTTTCTGCTACTTTGGACGCCCAGCAGTGCTGGCATTACTTTCTGGCTTGTTTTTTTTGGGGGTGGGGGCGGGCAGTGTTCAGTATTTTTGGTTAAACCATCTGGCAACCTAACACCATACATGGAAGCTCCTAACTGGGTTCAGTGCGCGATTGCCAAAAGCTCCGCTCTCTCTCCAAGCAACATTCCCTGAGGGCTCTTTTTCTGCTACTTTGGACGCCCAGCAGTGCTGGCATTACTTTCTGGCTTTTCAATGGGCAGAGGCACCAACAGGCCCAATGCAGCCTCAAAGATGCATGCTTCGAAAACTTAGTAGCAGCTGACGATAGGGTAAAATGCAAACTGTAAAGCAACCACACCTGTCAGGAGTGCTGCACCTGTGATAATGGTGCTGTGTTGAACTGCAGTACGTGGATGCATTTTGTAAAGCTACCAATACCAGGAGACTTAGGCAATGCATCTCTTGGGCCTGCAGACACAAAAACGGTGGTTTACTTCACGAAGAACATGGCACATCTGGGTACTGAGCAACATTTGACTGAGTTGAAGTTTGACCTCAGCCTGAAAACGAATATACCATGAGCACCAATCCTCATAATTTTCTGGTGTTTCCACATTTTGCAACCTATTGACTTTCTTGCTCTCAGGGATGCTGAGGCTGCAACGCTCCTGTTCACATTTAATTAGTGGAGGCCTTACTTTGGTGCAGTAAACTGGCAGGTTTTTGTTTGGTATTTTCATAATTTACTTGCAACAAACTGCTAGATTAAGGATCAACACTGCACCTTTTCACTGACTATTTCTGAATGTGGCCATTAGAGCACACAGTGGAGAAAAGAGAGCAAAGGCAGCCCAGACATGAGAGCAGCCTGTGCTAGCTGTGGTTGTCAGTTGACCAAATTCAATTCAATTTATTTCAGGGAAGCAGAAACAGTCCCACTGCCAGGAATATCCTGGGAATGTACTGCTGGTAGGGAGGAGGCGATTGTCATAGGGCCATTAAACAGAGCTTGTTAGGTACCACCAGATAAAGTTTTACACCAGTGTTAGGCTCATCATTACAGAAAAACACAAATATATGGGTAACATTATTTCACTTAGGATGTACTGGGCACTGCCCTAGTCTTAAAACCCTGGCTGTCAGCCATCACTCACTACTGCATTCACCTTAGATTCATTCCCTGGTTATGCTGACAGGACAGCACAGAAGTGAAAAACTGTATAACAAGCTTCCTGGAAACATTCTATAAGACGACGGAAGATCCCTTATCCAAAAAGGCACTCCAGCTGGTGTCTTTGCAATACTAACCCAGGCACATAGAACAATGAGGCAGTAATAAACTGGCATGTCACCACCTCCATGTTCATGTCATGTATGCTGTGCACCATGACCAATACAGTGGCTCCCTCCCTGCCACATGCATGGTACACAGGTGAGTTGTCTAGACTACTGAAACCAAACCCAAACTACAGCCAACCCCTCTGTCTTCTGAAAGTAATTGCCTTACGGTGTAGTTTCTCGAGAGCCACAGGGCAACAGAGCCACAGATGCCTCAGGGCGCTGCAGGAGAAGATGAGCAGGGAAATCTCTTCAAACAATACTATTGCCAAACAGGAAAACATTGCTCCCATTTTAGGTTTCCAAACCCTGGCAGGCTTTGTGCATCCAGGGCTTAACACAATTGTGCTTAGTTGAGCACGTAACCAGACCGGAGACTGGAGTAGTTAACACAGTTGACCACCAGTAGGTGCAGTGATGATTGCCATTTCATTCTATTACGAGGTGTCCCTTTTGGTACTCAATGCCTGCCTTTTCATTTAGTGGCATAGTCATTCTTAAGGCTACAGTTGCTTAACCAGGCCTACAATACTATAGCATCTGACTGGATGACACTTCTACCACATGATTTGTAACACCCTCCCACAGAGAAAACTCAGCTTTAAAAAAACATCATGAAGCCGGGAGCCAGGTACTTGTAGAACCTAATTAGGAAATAACAATGAATTCGTTTTGAGCAGTTGTAGCCTCACTTTGAATATTTTTAGCCATAACATTCAACCAGCTTTCAAAACCTGCTAGTAAGAGCTCTCTGTCAGTCAGGAATTGAAATGAGCCCCCAGACTCAAGCTTGTAATGGAATGAGAGAGCCAGAACAGTTGCTGATTATGGAAAACCAGGACAAGGAGACACTGAAGTGTTTTCAGAGGTGAAGTGCAGAGTTTAGCCCTGTGGAACAGATGAGCAGCTTTTTTTGGAGGGTGTTGGGATGCGGATAGTAGCTCCCTGCGAGAGATTCACAATCTAGCCCAGAGGCTGAAATTATGAGATAGGGCAGTGAGGGGGAAAGAGGTTTCTTCTGCTTGGTTAGCAGAATGATCAGTAGCAGCAAGTGGACTCCTTACCAACTACCCTTCTTCCAGCCCAGCACCAGACATTGTGCCACAATTGGCAAGTTGTGAGCTTTCACTCTTCTATTGCCATGGCTGTACTGAGTTCTCCAGAAATTAGAGGCAGCAGCAGAGATCCAGGGGAACCAGGATGAAATGAAATGCAGGGTGGAGCTGTCAAGGTGTGTGGGCAGAAGCTTCCAGAACAGAAGCCTGGATCATTTGGGGGGTGCTGCCCTAGGGAGGAGTTCCGTCCGAAGGGAAGAGCAGCCAGCAGAAGAGCCACTTTCTGTGGTGCTGAAGAGGAGCATCACCTAAGGTAACCTGAAGGACAGCTGCAGAAGTAAGGCAGAGAGAATGGATGAAAGCAAGGTCACTGTCTGCTACAGGAAGAGTGAGCCAGCAGCAGCACAAGAATCTCACATGAATTTCTCCAGGGGATTTAGGGGCTCGTATACATGTCACCAGATTTTATTTCCAAAACACATTTAAATCTTCAAAGGAGGGCTTTTTCCTGTCCCTCTTCAAATGCATCAATATTTTTTTATTTGAATATACCAGCAATTCAGCATTCTTGAACATCCTTATGAATGCCAATCCAGTGTACCAACACAATGGAGGCGCACACAGAGGAAGGAAACATGCTCATCAATTATGACCATTTCATTTAAACCACTTTTTGCTTTTGTCTATTCATAAAGTATTACTCAGATTTTATCCTATTTCTTTTACTATATGGATTTATGTCAGAACAATATAAATTTTAATTCTGGCGGTAGGGAGAAAATGATAGCCATTCATATATTTAATCTGTTTAAAAAAAATCCATCCGGGTGAAAATGGATCAATGGTTCTATTAACAGGTGCTCTTCAGAACCAAATTGAAAGTATTCTTTCAGGCCCTAGGGAGAAGAAGAAATTTTACGGTAAAAGCACAATGCCCTGCAAATACGACAGAGTCTGAAGTACACAGTAAAAGCCAGTATTTTTACTTTAGTGAATGCAGGATACAAATATTTTACAACAACTTCTAGCATTTTCTTAACCATTTGATAAAAAGTTCACTAGAATATTTATTGTATAATGAAGAAAAACAACACATTCAGGGAAAAATTGAGATTAACTTATTTTTTTCTTAAAAGATTCGTCTCAAGGATGGCAACAAAGTCCAGCTTGTGCCGCCAAACGGCTTATCATCATTAAACCATGAACAGCTTCTTGTGTGAACTGTTGACTACAAACATTTACCAAATACATAAATCTCTTTTAAAAAAGCCATTTTAAATATAGCAAAGCAGTGTTCTCTTGCACAGCAAAGTGAAGAAAGTTTCTACTAAGAAATAACTGTTTACATTATAAGTCTTTCCTTCACATTCTAATTTAACTTCTTCCCACGATCAACTGCTAGGAGTTATTATGTTCCTTATTTACTATATATTTCTTGTGCGCATGATAATTCAAAAAAGTCTTTGATGCATTAGTGTCCTTTACAATAAAAGGAAATGCTAAAGCATTTTTTCTCCAACAAAACCCTGATTATATTTTTTAAAATACTATTAGTTAGAGCTCAAAGATGATTTGTCATTTTAGCAGATACAACTTTCATACCAGCCAAGTAGGTTCACACTAAATTTGATATACCTGCAACCCTACCTCAAACTGCATGTATTACATTTACTTAACAAAAGATGCTATATTGATTTTTAATTGCTAGTTGTTCTCCTGTGCTGCGTCTTTCTTCTATAAAACACTTTTACATCTCCTAAAAAAAGTATGTTCCAAAAGTTACACTATTAGTGTTATTAAAAATCAGAGTTCCCCTGTTATTTTCATGGTGTGTAGTTCTTCAACAGATAGATGGGATGTTTTTGCCAAGACTTATCTACTGGAGGACATTATGGGGCTGTGGGCAACAGGTAAACAGTCTGATCCTCAATTCCTACGAATTGTACAAGTTTTACATTAGTCAGTTGGTGAGATTTAAATACAAACTCCAAACCTCATGTAACATTATTTTAGAAAACAGTAATAGTACTGCTTACAAATCTGCATAGAAATAAAAACCATTGAGATACAGTCAGCAAAGCCATCTCATAAGGCACACAAGAAAATAGACAGTAAATGTGAATGCAGAACTCCCACTCAAATGTACAGCAAAGTTCATATATGGGCATAAATAACAAAACAATCACATGACTTTTCAAAGCATTAAAGGTTCTGTGAAGTGGTAAGTGAACTGACATATACTGGAAATGGAGTTTTCATTTGAAAATTGAATCCTGTCGGTTCTTCTATTGTAGTCATTACTCTAGTCTCAGGTAATGAAATGTAGATTATTTTGAAAGGAAGTTGAAGTTTGCCCCAACTGTTTTTTTTTTAAATCTGTAATTTAAAAAGTTACAGACAACAACAGATTTTGTCTTGATATCCATCTATAATGTTTTGTTCTTGGATCATTCCACATACAAGCAGATGTCAAGATGATAAGTGTACACACTGGATTTCCATTTCTACCTCTCAAATTTTCTTAGTGATAGTGTCAACTAAGTGACTTTACTAGAAATTGTCCTTAGAAAGTGTTGAATGCCCAACAGAAAAGTGTTTTAATAAATATATGGGACAAACTTTAAACAGTTTTGTGTAACACATAAAACAACTTCAGTTCTTCCCAAAATTAGAGTGGACTAGTAGTCAGATTTGTTCCTTAAAAATTTTACAAACTGAAAACATGAATTAAGCACACATTTACCAAAACAAAGTGAATTGTGTCTGATTTTGCCCATCCTTTACATCTAGTTTTAAGTAAATATTTGTCAAACTTCAATAGATTAGCAAAATCAATATAAATTTAAAGACAGAGATTATGATACACCCTGACTGATGGGAGAATTTGCTGCTGTATTGGAGCCAGATTTTGCAAACCCTTACTTTTGGAAGTAGTCCTACTAATGTATGACAGCAAATTACAGGATCAGAACTTCCGGTACTAAACAGATATATAAGCATACTGGGCATTTAGATTTTTTGCTTGGGGGGGTGTGCGTGAATGTTAGGAGGCATGAAAAGCTTTCTTTCCATAGCAAATATTTTATCCCAAACCACTTACCACTTACAAAACCTTTTGTGTATTATTGATGTGTTATTTCCCTAACATAATGAGGTCAAGTTTTTCCACTGAATATTTTCTCACAAGAGGCAGTTTTAAAATAATGCCTTAAAATGTGTTGTAACAGATTTTTAATATTTATGTGGGATGAACTTAACACCGGATTTTTGTTTTTTTGTTGTTGCCACTTTGCTATTTATATACATATATATAAAATGTATAATGAAGCTTAACCATACAGCACAGAGATTACATTTTAACTGCACACATTCACCACCAGTGAAGGGACAACCCCTTTATACAGCCTCTGAAAAAATCTGGATAATAATATTAATAATAATTAATCCAAAGAAAGTACAGTATATTTAACAAAATAGTAAATATTAAACAGTGAATACTCTACTTAATAAGGACCTCGCCTTTTTTCAAGTTGGCGTCAATCCACAAAAATATACTTTTTAATCTGGTGAACGTACAATACGTAGGTACTTACACCAAAGGTGATATATTTAAGATGCTATGTACAAAGAGTTTGGCTCAAATTTTAATTTACATATAGAATAATAAGTGTTCATGGCTTATTTTTCCCCAGCGTTCTGCCTGCAAGTTTCTTTTCCCTCTTCTGAAAGCAAACAACTAGAAAGTCAAAATAACAAGGTAAAACTATACTCTACAAAAAAAGCTACATCATACAGCTTTGGCTTATATAAATAATTCATAGCAGAATGTGTTCAAAAGTACTGTATATAACTTTTATATATAGTCTTCAATTCATAAGGGTATTGTTTTCTTTAATATAAAATATACATGACCTAAAATCCGTTTCTATATTTTTCAAAGAACACAAAAAGAAACTTTTCAAACATATTCCAATTATAACTTAATATATTAATTTTATTTTGTTAATGCTCTGTTTTCTAGGTTATTTTTTGAATATTTCATGCGAGCTCTCTAGGATTCTCTCTCACTTTTTTTTTTTTATTAAGAACCACTTCTTTGACCCAATACATTTTTTTGCACGTGCAAAACAGGTTTTTATATCTTCAAGCCCTTCGCCATGCACCTTCTGCAATAGAGACCCATGCCAAGTTGGGTAATATAAAGGACATTTTATGTACAGTATTGCTTTCTTTTTCCTGCTTTTCTACTGCTCTGCTGCTACAAAGCATTGTTTCTTAACTACAACTAACCATACGGCTTTAATAAAACACATAGGGACATTACTATAGGGGAGCCCTCTTGGTTTCTGCAATCTAGTGCGGCAGGATTATAGATGGGTACAATGTTTCTTTGCAAAACAGGTTACATTATTAAAACAGCATGTCCAGGTAAGTGCCAGAGTAGGCCAACACCTATAGGATTGTTTTGTTACATTTTTACCATGGGACATCTGCAGCTATACAAGAAGTTTGTAGTAAGTGCCTGATGATTCTGTGTATGCTACACACACTCGCACATATATATGCATGTGAAGATATATATATGCACGTATGTATATACATATAAATATATTTATTTCATGTCCTTATTTATATATTTAGATATGTCAGGACAGTTCACTGTGGTAACACAAAATAGAAGTGGAAATGCTGAAAGTTTATGTCGCCCATGTGTCCACTCTCATTCGTTTCACTGAAGGGCTCTCTCTATCTTCTGTGTTTGGAGGTCTTCCCAATCCAACAGGCGAATGGAAATCACTTCTTGGGTCCTCCCGATCACTGCCATCATAAGAACTGCTGGAACTACTGAGACTGTCAACAGGGGAACGACCCAATTCCTGCCGTGATTGCTGATGTGGCTGTTGCTGCTGAGGGAACCCAGAAGGAGTCACACGGTCCCGTGGAGGTGAAATTGGTTCAGACTTTATGTTGATGTTTTCGTTGGTATTAATAGATAAATTTGAACCCTGAGAGAGCTGGCCACCAGTACTGGGGAAATTAAAAAAAGAAGTTATGATTCTTACTTGAACATTAAGTGTTGTGAAATCTTGTAGCCTATACTCAAAGTGAATCCAGACTAAATACATAAATAAAAAACATGTACTGAATGCTTAGTGTAAGACAATTGAAAATTGTGAATTAAAGGTGTCCCAACATCCTGAACTAATTCATTGACAGCTGGTGTTTATTACACACTTTATTGTTCAGTAAGTGCCAGATGAAGCATAACCAATTAGATTAAAGTGGCTTTTAGCAGCAAGAAATGGATAACATTTTAGATAAAATTGGTCCATTAGTGCTGTGCTCTTCCGTGGAACTTGAGTGCCCAACTACTCTGTGATTTGTTATTACATCTTTTACTTGTGTTTAAAAGAAACAAGACAAATAGAAATGTTTAATTTTTTGAAGTGTGTTGTAAAGCTTTCAGCTAGATATTTTCTTGATAATGTTTTCAGAACAGTAACATTTGTCACCATTACTACTTACACAGAACCAGCCAACAGCATGCTAGATACTGAACAGACAAATGGGAAGGCAAGGTTCCTGTCCCAAACAGGTTCTTTTTAAAAATAACTAGAGTAATTTCACGGTCAGTGCATCTACATTATCGTAAACTTGACCAGGCAAGGTCGGAAATAATGTTACTCCTTGTGAAATCATTGACATCGATTTCAGTGGCCCTTAAGGTCAACAAGACAGGCTTGGAAGTATGGATGCATCGTTTAGAAAATCTATCACATGCAGCTAATTTCGGTGTAAACTCCTAGTGTAGACCAAGCCAGACAGTTGATTGGCAAACATGGGAGGAATGCATTTATACATGCACTGAAGGAGAAATTAAAGTGGTGTCTTACTGAATAGTGTCAAATGCAGAACTCTTCACTTATAATCAAAGTAGCAGAGATTCCGGCAGATCTACTTACACAAGAGAGCTAAGGGCTGCTTGTCCTAGATGGTGCTGTTGCCAGGCAGATACCTGTCCTAAAGATAGCATTCCTGGGGAGTTAAATCCCTGCAGGGCAGACAGGTCTGCACTAGTCAAGGAGTAATCTGAAAAAGAAGAAAAATAATGTATTGTGTTGAGATATAAGAACCAAAGTGTTAGCTTCCTGTTCAAATCAGCTACAGGCAGATCATGCAAAAAGGATCAGAAAGGACAGACTCTTTCATGTGTGTAGAATACCATTGACATCATAAGGGTCTACTTGTGTAGATCTCTTTGCAGGATCATGGCCTTAAAATGCTCTCTTTTCAAACCTGCTTCCGACGCCTACTTGCTATTGCTTGATTTGGGCTGAATATGAATGAGAATACGGGCACTTCATCCAACATTCTGGTCTTCTCCTAAGCATATGCAAGAAAATGTTCATTTCTGTGCTGGTTTCATCATGTACATTTCTGAATATTTCTCTCTGTACAGGAACTTCAAAATGAACTAAGGTGGGGAGTATTAAAACAGGCCACTAAATCAAATGAAATAATTTACTATATTAAATCTGGCATAAGAGAAAACTTGTCTTGTGCTCAACCCTTGGTTCAGTACGAGAGCCAGATTCTCTCTTTTCGTTCAGCCCCTCTGCATGGCTCAGTATATGGCCAGCCGAGAATTACTCCAAGAGGCAACATTCCAACTAGTATAATCAGCTCAAGTACACTACTGTCTGCTGCTAGTGTAGGGGCACAGCTGAGGCACTCTGGTGTTGTAGCAATTCTAAGCTGGGAAAGTGTCTCATGGAGCTCAATGCATGCTAATGTAAGTCAGAGCAGCTTTCAGGCTGCTCTACCCTACAATGGAGCAGGACCTGTGCAAAGCAGAAAATTAGTGAGTCTATTACTATCTCCCTGAAGGCCTGCCCCCTTCTCCTGGATCAAGTCAATATTGGTACAGAAAATAATCAAATCCTGTAACGGCAGCTACTTTACAAAACTGCTATGAAAATGTACCATGTAAGAGGAAAAACCGTACTCATTTGCCTTCATCATAGTGATGGTGAAGACATAAAAGCTTTTTTTAAAATAAATCAGCAAAAAATAAACAAACAAATCCCAAAACAAAGCATTCATCTCCTATGGCATACGAAAATATTTGCAAGACACATCTAAAGCTCTAAAAGCATCACTGACAGTCTATAATAAAACTCCTTTTGCATCATAATTCAGTTTTATTCTTATATTCATGTAGTATATTAACTGATGACATATAGCCGAAAAACAAAGTATTTTTATATACAGCAATACTGTGTCATGCACTTGGACATAGTTTTTATATGCCGAGTGAGAGGAACACTGTACAGTTGTAGTCAAAACTTCAATTATTGGATTTTTTTAATTTGTCAGGATATAATGCTTAGATAGTTCTCGCTGCTCATTCACACATAGGAAGTTATTTTCAGTTCATCATTATCACTTATGCTATCCTTTCAGGTTTTAAAAGAGAAAGCTGCAAACACTTCTCTGCTCCTAATCACTTTGCAACACAGCTTCCTTAATATAATTTCTGGTCTCTTGTGAATGAGACAAACTGCTAGGAAGAAAAAACTTACTGTGCTTTGCCACCAGAAATTAACTAACAATGTACTTAAGTGGGATCTTTCTGGAGATTTACAAATCAGATTTATACATTGACATCTGTCTGAAATGACAGTTACTATTTATAGTTCAATCTCTCTCAAGATATCTTCTAGGAGTACAGCCTAGTGGGACTGATTTGGAGCTGCAGTATAGTACTTCAAGAATTTTGTATGTTCTGTTTGCCTGATTCTTGTAACACAATTTGCTATATGGGCATACTGAGTTAATTTAGTAAGAGTCTGTCTCTACATGCAGACAGGAAGGAGGGCAATAGCCAGGTATCAGCAAACATTTAGGACTACTGATTTTAGTTACTACTCCCACTCCTTGCTGAGTCCCTCAACCAGTTTCACCAGAAAACTCAAGAGAACAATGGGATGTATGCCTGGAGTTGAACACTCTGGAGTGCAAGAATGAAGATGAATCCATGCTCCAGAGGTTGGGGGAACTGGAGACACCCCTCTCAAAGATGGTTAGACAGACATGCATGTACACTTTGTATTGTTTTAAAGCCCTTTTCTCTTACTAGGCTTTATTCCTACTGCTAAGAGTCACCATAATAATGGCTAATCACTGCTTCTGCAGGTAACTGAACCCAGTCAGACCCATTGGGGTAAACACAGCTGATCCACTTCATGCTGTAGCTAGGGACATCCTCTAAAAGTGCAAGACTCATCCAACTTCATTCTAGCCAGTTACAGGCATGATAAGGCCTCATACCTAAAAGGGTTTAGAGGCCAAAAGAGGTCAGAGGATCAGCTAAGCCCTTTTATAAATCAAGTGGGCTATGGATTTTGATTCTTCAACCTGCATTAACATTGTCAGTTAAGAACTTATCCCTTCAGAGTGCAACAGCTGATACACTGTATATGCCTTGAAAAACATAAACCATACATTCACTGCACAATTTGTCTCTCAAATTCAGGCCACAATATCTCAGAGTAAATGTAGCTCCAAATATTGTCATCAATAAACCTTAGATGTAGGACTTTTTCTGATGGTAAATTCTAGAGACATTCTGTAGTGAACCAATAGTTATGAGATTAATACCCAACTGGTGGTGAAAGCGTGTGCTTTTCTGTGCAGGTACTTGCACTGTGCAGCATATTAGGGTGCTATTTGCATACAGATAAAGGAAAATAATTCTGGATTTTATTGTTGTGGGTTCTATATTGGACAAAACAAGATACAGGTTTTAACATGTAACAGCTATCTTAAAATACTATTGTTAACATTAATGTTCTGTGAAATATGGAGGTATTCCATGTTGTTGCTTTGAAAAGCTCATCTTCGGAGGCAGAGTAAAATTTCAGCTACAATTGCTGCCAAAGTTCCAGCTGCACGAGTTCTCAAGGTAGAATACTTCTCAAGAAAATCAACAAGAAATCCAAGTTAACTAGCTAGAAATAGCTCTTTTGCAGACAGGTTGATCTCTAAGCTCTGTCTGCACTATGGAGTTAAGACTTCATCTGCAGCCATGATCTAAGGGACTGAATTGTGAAGACACCAATTGTATGGATTGTCCAGCTGCATAAACTGTAAAACAGACTGTGACTATGACCCACTTAGTCTTTTCAGAGAGAAAGAAAGAACTTCATTCAGTATCTAAAAGGTAAGAAAGAGAGCCATCACCTTCTGTCCCATCATGTCCCCAAAGGACATTATAATGTATTCACATCTTTGAAACTTCTCTCTCAATAACTTTCTCCGTCACACCCACAAGCATCATTTAATGACAGGAGGTCCAAATCTGAAAGCAGAATCTGCATTCTGGAAATGTTGGAACGGAATCTCCAAGTACTTCATGATTTAAAAGAATTCACATTTGTATTAATGCTTTGTTTGATTTCCAGTCTTGCACTGGAATGGATGCAATTCATACATGCTCAGAGGTGGTGCCATCAGAATAATAATGTGCTACATGAAACAAGAGTTCCAGAGTCACATGCAGTAGAAACCTTAAATACACTGTATGCCCTACATCACTGTAGTGAGACGCAGGCATACTGACAAGTCAAGAGGAAACCAAGCAGAAGAATCTAATGCAATGGATGAGAGCTTAGAAGGGGGAAGAGGTTACACCTTGGCTTCAGATTTAGAGCTGTAGCCTTCTTAGGGGTCATTTCTGCATAGTCATGCCATTAGGCCTTGGGTTTTAAGGTCTCAGAAACAGGGCCCGCCCTTCTGGGTATCCCTAATTGGACTGGGTTTGTTTTCATAAAGCAAGTTTGCTCAGCTGTGATTGATTTCAATGCCAACTCTCAACATGGAGAGCCAGGGAGACTTCTGTGAGGTTATAGAGGGATGACACATGGGAGGGGCCAGAAGGGTCATATGCTACCTGGGATGCTCAGCACAGTGACTGCACTCTCCCAGCGCAGGCAGCCTCTAACCTTGCTGCCTGCCTGCTGGGATGTTGCCTGGTGCAGTTCAGCGATGGCACTCTGCTCAGCAGGCAGTGTGGCCAGAGTCTGCCTGAGAACGTGCACTGGTGGAACCACATGCCAAGGGGACTGGAGCTGGCACAGAGGTGACCCACCAGGTAACATGGGATGGGGCAGGAATAGGGAGACCATGGAGGGGGGCTGAACTGGGATAAATCATGTGGGGAAGTCATGCAGAGGGAGTTATGTCCTTCCCCAAGCTGGTGCCCACTTTGTGTCCTTCCCCACTAGTTGCTACTTGTGTGCGTGTGGTTTTTTAATTGCCAGTTTTTCATCACAATGACTCTGTAAGGCACCTCATTAATACTGAAATCTGTCTGCCTGGGTAAGACCGTCAATTTCCGGAGAATTTTTCACACACTGAATAAATCCAGAGTCCTCTTACAAGGGTAAAGAAAAGCTCTTCTTTTTGATAACCTTTTCTCTTCTCCTCCATTGAATTCAACCTCCAGTCAGTAAGGTATATTTGTACTCAATACAACTCAAAGAAGCTAGACCTCTAACAAGCTGTGACTAGATTAAAGTTAAATGTTTGATATGTGTGCGCTGCTCTGCATGATGGATCCCTAGGGGGATTGCTTTAACATCAGAATCTGGGATGAACTCTTGTAGGAAAAACTGCAACTGCAAATAAATAATATTTATGATAACGGACAGTAACATTTTATGCTTCAATTATAAGGTAACTGATGACAAGGGTCAGGAAACTATTCCCTCCACCACCTACACAACTGTACTTTTAGATAGGTACACTGTGATTTTATTTACCTTTGCCTAAATAATCAGATATCTGCTACTGCTAAAGGCAGGAACCCTGGTGTGATATGGAAAAGCTATGCTGATATGGAGAATCTTCCTACAGAGTTCCTTTGAAACTTAGGTCTTTTTGCAGCAATTGTCACAAGAGGGCAAGAATAGAATTTCAGTGTTAGTGAGATGTGTTTGCTCTTTTTAATCACGGCTAACATATGTCTCTGTCTGAGGACCTGATAGCTTGAGATACTTATTCTCATGCAACATTCACGTTCACCAAGATTATATCAATTGATTATTTAAAAATAGAATTTCCTGTTAAAAGTTACAGATGGTCCTAGTACTACACTGTGATGGACAGAAGGAATGCTCACCTCCTCAAAGGTTAAATTCAAGTAACAAGGGGTGTTGTTAGCAGGGAGCCAGAAGAATCAATGGGATACAGGGCTGAAATTTTAATTGTAAATATATACCTGCAACCATTTGCTCTGTTGGAGAGTTAAGCCAGGAGTTGAGAGACACAGGATGATTTAAACCCAGGCAGGACTACCATGCCTCCAAAGGAATTCAGGGCAAAGAAGTACACTGAACCAGAAGGACAGTGAGTAAATAAATAGAAAAAGTGTATCTAGTCGCAATCACGGTGTTTTTCTTTATTTCTGTGGTTTGGTTTGAACTGCTCTGTGTGAATCTATGCCTCTCCTCCCCCATTCACTATCTAAGAGTTGTTCCCAGAGATTTTCTCTGGGTTAATTTGTATTACTTAGTTTCTCTGTAGCGCCTAGCAATCAAGTATGCTTTATCAAGTAGATCTTTAGTTTTGGTAATTAAAAACCACTTTAAGGTGACAATTTGATTCTCGTGTCCTGGAAAGACGAGGCTGTGTGTTTGTATATGTCTGCCTGCCTAAGACAAGCAGTCAGCTACCAGAGACTGCAGTTTGTTTTCTCTTTGTTTTTCAAGTTCTCTTGTGTTAAAGGAGCTTGAGGTTACCCCCTATGAAGGCAAGGTATTTAAGGTCTTTGTGGGCCCTCACCTTCTACACTCAGAGTCCAGAGTGGAGATCAGCACTGACATGGGAAAAAAAACAACCCCAAAAACCTCTACACAGTCACAGATTTACTGACTTTGGGGAGAAGCGCTTGGACTTCTTCCAGAGGGGTAACCTCAAGCTCCTTTAACACAAGAGAACTTGAAAAACAAAGAGAAAACAAACTGCAGTCTCTGGTAGCTGAACGCTCATCTTAGGCAGGCAGGGCAGGCAGGCAGGCAGGCAGGCAGACACACACACACAGTCTCGTCTTTCCAGGACACGAGAATCAAATCGTCACCTTAAAGTAATTTTTATTAACAAAACAAAAGATCTACTTGATAAAGCATACTTGATTGCTAGGCGCTACAGAGAAACTAAATAATACAAATTAACACAGAGAAAATCTATGGGAACAACTCTTAGGGTATGTCTAGACTATGAAGTTTTTTTGGAAAAAGTGGCCTTCCTATGTTGGTGGGACAAGACCTAGATAACCACATAAAGCAAGCCCCCAGGGGGAGAGTGGTCATTCAAAGCAGGGCTAAGCAGGCCTCCACATCTAAACCCATTCCTGAACCTCAGCCTCCTACCAGGGACAAGTCTGTGCACCCAGACAGAGGTGATGGAGCCAAACACCAGACAAACAACCCCAACTGCAGCAGGGGCCCCAGTTATCCACCAAGATTATACCACTTAATTATTTAAAAAACAGAATTTTCCAGTTGGGAAGTTACAGATGGTCCAAGTACCACACCTATCAGATAAGCTTCTTTTTCTTTCCCTTGAAAATTTCATACCCATTTAACACCAGACAAGCAGTTATAGATCCTACACAGAAAAACAACGTGAAGTTCAGGTTGTAGGCACATGACATTAGTTTCACTGCACACTACTTTTCAAACACATGCATGTTAAAAACATTAAACACACCAAGCTATTCAGAATTAAGATTATATTACCACAACAAACCAAAAAGCACAAGAGATATATCATACAAAGCAGTGCCAGCTGGTTGTTTTTTTTTTAAAAAAACACATTTGACTATTTGTTGCAGAGCCACAACAGGGGTAGCTCCTGGACACGGTGCGAGCCAGGACTGAGCAGGGCTTGCTCACTCCCAGCTCATGTTGGGCCCAACAGCCCCTATCTGTGGGGGGTCCCAGCTGAGACTCACCTGCAGACAGGTGCTGCTGCTGGAGCAGCCTGTGTCTCCGTGGACACGGGCTGCTTCGCAGTAGCCTCCCCTGCCGCCTCTGATAGAGGCAAGTGCCGGGGGGCATGCTGTACCGGAGATGGTACTGGAGAGAACCAGCTTTTTTAACCAGCTCCTGCTTCTTTTCTTGCTGCCTCTGATACAGACTTGTTGAGGCAGTGGGGGTGGGGAAAGCTATCTGTCTATCCTGACACTGCAGACTGCGCTGTGCCCCAGAAGTGGTCAAATAATGACTACAGACTAATATTCTTGGAGCTGACTATCCACAGCAATGTTCCAATTCAACATTTAACAAGTCTTCAAATTAGATCAAGCAATCAATCTTCAGAACTACATAATACAGCTTGGCTAGTGAGATTCAGGCCATGTCTACACTATGAGTTAAGGTCAAATTTATTAAGATAGATTTTTTAGCACCTTATTTTGTAAAGTCGATGGTGCACATCTCTAATGTGTGCAAGAATCTGGCGTAGTTTGAAGTAGTGCGTCTGCAACAGCATGGCTACTGTCACCTTTAAGAGCAATATACTGTGGGTAGCTATCCCACAGTTCCTACACCTGTTTGCATTCTAAGTTATGCTCCCAGTGCACACTGGGACCAAAACCATGCAATGGGTGATTCTGGATACATGTCACCAGCATCCCATAATGTGCTCATCTCCTCCCTCGCATGAAAGCAACATCAAACAGCCTTTTCGTGCCTTTTTTCCCCTCTAGTTATCATGCAGATGCCATAGCGATATAAGCATGGAAACTGTTAAGACTGGGAGTTTTCAGCCTAGAAAAGAGGAGACTAAGCAGGGATAAGATAGAGATCTATAAAATCATGATTGGTTTGAAGAAAGTAAATATGTTCCTGTAATACAAGAACTAGGGGTCACCAAATGAAAGTAATAGGTAGCAGGTTTAAAACAAACAAAATTAAGTATTTCTTCACACAATGCACAGTCAACCTGTGGAACTCCTTGCCAGAGGATGTTGTGACGACCAGGATTTTGAAAGGGTTCAAAAAAGAGAGATATATTCATGAAGGATAGAATATTAGCCAGAATGAGTAGGAATGGTGTCCTTAGTTTCTGTTTGTCAGAAGCTGGAAATGGGCAACAGGGGATGGATCACTTGATCAGAGGGGACAGATCTGTTCTGTTCATACTTTGGAAGACAGCATACTGGGCTAGATGGACCTTTTGTCCAACCTAGTACAGCCAATCTTATGTTCTTATATTCAGAGATTCAGAATCATAAAACCCTTAGCTGCACTTACCAAGTAAATGGTAAGTTAAAAAGAAAATAACACTTACCAGTGTTGTAAGCAGTAGGCATGGCAGAATATACCAGTCCCTGTGGAGGCAAGCTTGGAGTTGTCACTGATACCACAGGGGTAGCAAGCGGCTGTGTTGATTGAGAACTGCTTATCCGTTGGGTATTCTGCAAATGATTAAACACAAAAGAACATGTCTTGTGGAAGTCCATCAATTACAACAGTGAATATTATGTGTTAATGCAAAAGTAACATTCAATTAAAATGGGTCCCTTTTTGCATTATATTGGTGATGAGAACAGTATCTCTTTTTTCATGATTGTGGATTTTCTTCTACAAAACATTTAAAGGACCAAAACCTAATTTTGCTTTAGACTAACTTAAAGGAGATATAACTAATGCATTAGATTTATGGGTATATTCTCTTGTACGTGCAGCTTTCATTAATGTCAATCTGAATAATAGGATAGCACTTAGAGGAAAATGCAATCCTTTAGAGTGTATAAGGGTACGTCTACACTGTGCGGCTATTTCAGGATACCAGGGGAATCCCGAAATAGCTACCCCGCCTCTTAACAAGCCACCTGTTATTTTAAAATATTTTTTGAAATAACGGGCATGCTATTTCAGCATCCCTGGAACCCTCATTTCATGAGGGTTAAGGGATGTTTTGAAATAGCATGTTATTTAGAAATTTGGCACTGTGTAAACATGACTACTTTCAAAATAAGGTATTTCAAGATAAAAATTGAACTAAGATACGCAATTTGCATAGTGCAAATTGCATATCTTGTTTCAAGTTTAGGATGCTGTGTAGCTGCACTGTAATTTTTGAAAGTCCCTGCCTGGAGTGATCTAGGAGGATAAGTCCTATTTTCAAAAGAGACTTACACACTTAATATCATTGACTTTGGTTGACTACTAATTCCTAAGCCGCATTTGAAAATAAAACTTTTCAGTGCCTTTGAAAGTTTTTCTTTGAGTTCTTACTGTTGCTTACACAGGTGTAACTACACCTGTCCTAAAAGCAGCAGTGGGAGAATTCCCTTATATTGGCAAGACCTTACTGATAGAATAATGTTGTGGTTCCCTGCTGTGGGAAGTTTACTCTTTAGACCAGAGCAACTCAACTTTGGAAGCCCCAGGGGCCACAATGATACAGCACATGCCAAGGGCCGCAACTTAAGTCTGGTTGCATATATTTGCAAATATATATGCAAATATATGCAAAAAGCTTCTTTTACACTGACGGGCATAAATACAAAGATTAAGGCAAGACTATAGAACACACAGGCCCCATTTAAGCCAGTTCTGCTGATATTAATAAAATGCAATAGTTACCTGATTTCCACCTATATGACAGCACTTTTAATGAGCAATGGCAGTCCAGGAATTTAACTACTAAAACTCATATCAACAGAAGACCATTATATTGACTGTTTTTTTTGTTTTGGCTCCCACCCACGGGCCACATGTTGAGTAGCCCTGCTTTAGACTGCACATACATTTCAAAGCACGTACTTTGGGGGGAAGGGGACATTAAAAATCAGTTGTGCTTCTGATATGAAAATTAGTTAAGCTCAAAATTGTAGAAGCTCTGATTATTCTGCCATTTGTATGTGGATAACTCTTTTGGCCATTTTAACAACAGTCTATATGCCACAGTCTTGAGCTAAACTTGACAACAAACATATAATATGTATTAGGCAGTTTACAAATTTTCCATACTAAAAATCTGATACAAAAGGTTTACCTTTAACCTTGTGATAAATGCCTTTAGAAAACAAAGCCACTCCATCACTGGCATGCAATATTCTTTACCAAGAAAGCCTTAATTTTTTTCAAAATAGACAAGTCAACACAGATTGGATGTGACAGGAATGGACCATGTTTTACTTTTGAAAGATACTTTATTCCTAACTTCTCCTAAGGAATTTTTTTATTCTCCTCACTGTCCTGTTCTCAATTTTAAATGGAATATTTAAGATTAACCAACCTAAATTTTTTTTTGAAGAAAAATAAGCAACTCTCCTAGACTAAAAAAATATACTTATTTGTTCCCAGAAGAGCAGCATCACAACTTCTTAACTGAAGCACCTGCCAAACTACAACCCCCCCCCCCCCCCCCCCCGCTTTTGTTTTCTTCTGATCATGGGTGGCATCTGGATGTTCCCTTATCTCTGGTTCTCTTATATTCTGCTCTTAAGAGAGCACACGCTTTACAGAAACCAAAAACCTCCTCTTCTGCCACTGACTGTAGGAACAATTTTGTTCAAATAATGATTCATGTGTGAGGAATATTTTATATTGTGCAAAGCCAGACTTCCCTATAGGAATGCCTATTTTGTCAGAATCTTAGAATGTGAATAAGTCTAATAGCTACAACTCTGATGACTATTTTGGCATCCATGTTAAGCACGGATATACTGTAGTTCAGGGTGGAATTTTCAAAAGCACTCAAGTGACTTAAAAGCAAAACACATTTGTTTTCACTAGGATTTGTGTTTGTAAATTACTTAAATGCTTTTGAAATTTGTATCCTCTGTTAGAGTAAGAGACTGGGTTTATCTTTTATGAAGGCATGTCTTCCACTTAGTATTTGTTCAATTTTGATTATGTAGCATTGAATGTTTACTGCTAGGATATGAAACTGGAGTTTAGAATACATAATAATCCATATAATAAATACAGTAATGTTTCCAGGATGTTTTATTTGCTAATTTAAAAGGTCTTGTTTGAGGAAGATTTTACTTGTTTGCAGTTGGTTGCATAGGTTTATACACAACTCGTCACATTTTTATAACCAAACCAGTAGAGGGCAAACTCTTCCTACATTATTCATATTCCAAAGTACCATATCTAGATTCTGAACATTTTATATTAGAAGAGCATACCAGTGCTAGCAATTAAAGAACACACACCTCTATAATGAAATGGATTTTGAGTAAGACTTAAAATCACTGAGATGTAAATAATGACCTGGTTAACTATTTTATCAATTAAATTGAATCCCATAGTTCTTTGTATTGGAAAATACAGTTTTCTACAAAGCTGAAGAAAAAATGACATAGCTGTTTATAACTATAGTTAATCATAAGATTTAAACTCTTCCTATAAACACCACATTTTTTGGATCAGTTCAAGTAACTTTCAAAACTAATTTTTTTCTAACCAGCTCAAATTTAGGGAAACAATATAGGTAAATATCATCCAACAGCATGCATTCACCAACTTAATATATAAAGACACTATTGCAATTTTCATGCTTACATGCAGTTAGAGCCTCATATTGGAAGCAACAAGTCCATGTGCAAATAAATCAAAGCATAGGTGTATAAAAATCTTGAAGCTCATCTTCGATTGTACTATGATGTAGAAACTTCTGCAATTACTGTTGTGCTAGAACACCTAAAATTTGCATACTGCTTAGAAAAATAATCTAGAACTCTCATAAGTCAAGTTACTTTTAGTCTTATATTTATTTTCAACAGTGAACACCAAAATACATGGTATTTTCTGAAAAACAACCATTTCCTTTCAGAAACAGTGAAAAGGGTAAAATAATTAATTTACAATTCCATATTCCTTGTGCCAAAGAGGGAACCCCCTCCTTATGTGGTTTGATCATCTGGTACAGCATGAAATAAATCCAACTCTGTAAAAAGGTGATCTCACCAGCTATGATGTAATCTCCATCGAAGAGGGAGAAGTAACACAGGGCTTGTGTTACAATTTGAGGAACTTCAGGAGTGAAATAATTTTCTAAAAATATTTCAATAATTTTGGGGACTATATAAGGTATACACCTCTGCCACCAGAAGTACTTTGTGTACATGGAAAGTTACTTTGTAAGGCTCTGTTCCAATGTTCCCTCTAAGAACAACTAAAAAATTGTTTCTTAAACACAAATTTATAAATGAAGAATTCTAAGACTTTGGTTGCATTTACACATTGCAACTTTTTTGTTTTTTAAAAAATTTGGATAAAACAAGTACATTTCTCTACTACAAAGGGAACATTGGTGTAATTTAGAACATGTATTATGCCTTAAACTTTCTTCACTCTTCAAGCAGGAACCCAAACTCACCAACTCCAATTCATCCTCCTCCGACTGTACTCAGCAAACAAGAGGGATAATATAGTTACTAAGAATAGCACTGCTTTCAAAAATGAAATAAAAAGTCATGTTTGTGCCTCAGGGTTTGTTTATTGGTTGATTAATACGGTATTTTGAATTTACCATGCTATTATGTAAACAATGTTACAAAGTATCTAATTACATACTTACTATATACACTTTGGGTCAATTAATAAAAGGAGTTTTTTGATGCAGGAATAAATAATGTGGCAAAATTGTGCTCACAACTACAAAAGATTGTTTATAGAAGGCTGAAAATTAGCCTTTGCTGAACACAGAGCAAAGGCACAACTGTTCACAGATATATACGGACAAAGGTGCTCACTGGTTCTATTATGGTTAACTGATCAAACGAAAGTTAGCTACATGGGCAAATGCTTTTAGTGCTCCCATCACCATGACATCTAGGCATCTCTATTCTTTACTTCTCTCTCCTCTCCATCAGACAGACAGAGACAGACAATTTAAGGAAAGGACATGAAAATTGTTGGAAAATATTTTTCCCATATTAATTTTAAAAATAATTTAAACCACAAGTTTCACACTAAGAATTAGCAATGTCCTTCTTCATGAATGTGCTCTAAAACGTTTGCATTTTTAGAAAAACGCCAAACATTTTAATAAAAGTATTGAAGAACATGTTTAATTAGGACTCTGGCTACTTATATTGATTATGTGCTTTAACTCCAGTATCAATAGCAAATGTAAACACTTGTGGAACCTAAAAATAAATAAGTACAGGCAGTCCCCAGGTTACGTACAAGATAGGGACTGTAGGTTTGTTCTTAAGTTGAATCTGTATGTAAGTCGGAACTGGCATCCAGATTCAGCCGCTGTTGAAACTGATCAGTTTCAGGAGCGGCTGGATCTGGACACCAGTTCCGACTTACATACAGATTCAACTTAAGAACCCCAGGCGTCCCCAAGTCAGCTGCTGCTGAAACTGATCAGCAGCTGATTCCAGGAAGCCCGGGGCAGAGCAACTCTGCCTTGGGCTTCCTGTAGTCAGCCGCTGGTCAGTTTCAGCAGC